GATCGAGCGTCGGAGACAATCATCGAGGGCGGATTGATTAAGTCCGGCTGACATGTGGGATTTAAGCAGATCGATTGTGGTTGGAATTCATTGATCAATTTAATATTTCTGTCCGTTGATTTTGGCAAGTCGTAGGTCGGCATCGGCGCAGACGGAAAATCCAGCTGTCGCAATCGGAGATGTGTTCCTCGGATTAGAGATGAAAGGACACGATGTTGGGCGGTGACGCGGAGGTCGGTTACGATTCCAAGATCCAAGCTTGGGCCCTGCTGCCGAGGTCGGTTGAGGCGTTTATGGTGACGTCGGCTGGTGATGTGGTCGGTCGCTATGGCGTTGAAGTTCGTCAGTAGGTGACGAGGCCGGATAGAGACGTCGGTTTATTCTTTGGAATGCGATCGGCTGTTGTTCGGAGATCCGGTGATGTCAGAAAGTCAGGCTTCGGCAGCTTCAATATCATTTGACTGAGGTTACCCTGGTATGTCGGGAATTCAGATCTCGGTGAAGGTGGGGTCTGCGGTCGCGAACTCGGTCCTGACAGGGAGGTCGGGAGTACAAAAGTCCATTTGGGGGCAACATCGGTCTGACTGCAATTTCTGATTTCCGAGTATGTCAGGATATTGGTAAAGGTGATGTCGGTCTAGCTTTTTCTCGATCCCAGTAAAGATGACGTCGGTCTGGATTTCTCGACTTCGATCATCGGTCTGGCATTATCGTCGGAACCGGCCATCTGTGGCGAGATCAATTCAAACGGCTTGCTGGATGAGGTGAGGTCGGCGATGTAGGACATTGGTTTGACTGTGATTTTCGACATTGGAGCTTATGCAGTAGTAACCGAGGTCGAGCGTGTCGGTTATGTTGGGACCTCGGCAACTTGGATTTCTGCCTATTTTGCGGTGAAGTTGGATTTCAACGAACCTGAGCTGCCACCTTTTAGATCCGGTAATGGCGACATTGGGACGTTGAAGTCGGTTTGAGAGAGAATGAGGTTGGAGGCTCGGCGGTGGTGAAGAGTTCGGCCCCGGTGATCGAGGTCGGGTTTTGAGGTGTGGACGGCTGGAGGTGTAGCCGAGTTCGTCGCCTTTTCGGATGTCCGAGATATGATGAGGTCGGACCTCGGCTATGAAGGTATAGCTGATGACCTCGACCCGAGGTATAACCGACAATGTGTGGATGTCGGGGATGGTGACGTCAGTTGTGGCTAAGTCTGTCGATCGTGATTCGGGCCCCCGACTTGAGTCAGCCGAAGTTGAGCTTGCCGGTTTACGGGAGAGAAAGGTTTGATCTATCTGTGAAGAGTTCGGCCCGAGGTGACTGAAATTGTCGAGTGATCTTAACGTTGAGTCCCGGTGAGGTTTCAAGAGGTCAGGTGATCGTATAAGTCTTGATTGACGGCGAGGACGTTGGGGTTGCAATTTCGTCACTGTTAACAGAACACAGTATATGAGTTTTCTTCTTCTTCTTTTTTTTTTTTTTTTTTTTTTTGCGATAAGGAAAAAATAAGGCGGTTGTTTGTCTCGTTTTTGTTGGTATTTTCGTGGCTATTTTGTGTGTTGTTTTCCCCCGTTTTAGGTCTTTCGTTAGGATTTTCCGGTCCTTTTTAGTCATTCTCGAGTTTCTAGTATTTTTTGTG